GAATAGTGAAAAGGCAGAAACCAAAAGAAGCAGACAAGTCAAATACCCCAAATACCGCCCTTCTCATCTGTCCATTGTATTTGGCATGGAAATTGATAGTTCCTGATAATGCAACTATGCTTGCCACATCTGCAACAAGTACCTCTCCCACTTCAAGATTTTTCTATACAACTGAATGAGGAAAAAAATTGGGCAGGAATAAAGGGATCAGATGATAAAACTTGTGATGTTCAATACAATTAAGATTCCTTAATATCATAAAACAGAAAAAATTTAATGGGCCAAGTACTTCTTATTTGGTAACAAATATGCTAAAATTTTAACCATCCAATTCTCACGAGAAACTCTAATAGCATACCAATGAACACACAACGCTTCGTATTCACTGAGAAGGATCATCTTTCTGACCATAACCAACATCTAAGTACACTGTAGATCTTCACATTAAGAATATATTACAATAATCGGTATTCAAAACTAAAATAATGTCTGTCGGAAATCTGAAAAACAATGATAACATGACGATAGAAATGATAGAATCTCATTGCCTGTATCTAAGAGTTCTAAAGGTTCTAGGACGACCCACATTTTCTCTCTTCTGCCGGTTTAAACATACAAACATGAATCAAACACTTAAATAATAGCCATGCCTAAAAAGTAAAAGAAGTTTTTCACAGTAACTGAGATTCAGCTTCATATCAGAACCGCCTCCGACTATAAAAGCAAGCCCTTGTCCCAATATCTTATGCCTCAAAGATCCCTGGAAATATTACTAGCGCATCAAACAAAGGTTCGATCTGTCTGCTTAAACCACAAAGGCAGATAACACATAACCACAGAATAATTCTGTCATCTCACCTCTGCACTAGCAATCATGTTATGTGCCCTTTGGACAAAGGTATTACTGACTTTGACATCATTAATAGAGCATAGAAATGCATCTGGCTACAAAATATATCAATAAAAGAGATGATCCAGTTAGAAAACTTAAATAAACCACAAAGAAAATAAGGATGATTGTAAGAAGAAGCTAGAATAATATCCTTAGCACAAGGATGGAACAAGAGAGACAATGAGTTATCTTTACCTGGCATAAGATTTCACCTCCAAACATTGCTAGATCAATCTGTGCAGTGTCGGTGCATCAGATAAAAAAGAAAAAAAAAATTGATTTAGTAATGCTACAACTAAATTGGATCTATAAGGAAATAAGAATTATAAGACCCTACATTACATGGAATGATGGAATCAGATACAAGTATTAGGTAAAGGTGCAAATACAACACGCCCTTGAAGGACCATAAGATGTACCATGTCCATGTCATACCTGTTCAAGATGGGTACGTAAAGGCAAAAAAATTGTCCATCTAACATAATATAACCAACCAAACAAGGAAAGTAGCTGAGATGCGAACAAACCGGTAGGATTCTTACCAAATAAGGCGCAGCAATTCCAACAAATCCATCAGTTGTACCTGTATTCTGGAGAACCACACTTGAAATACTCTTTCCAAAAAGCCACTGCCAGACACTTGTATCATTTTCAGTGGCATAGACATTTTCCAAGTGAATGGAAGAAGACGTGTAGCACATGGACCCTGCAAAGTATTGTCACTTAAGAGTGAATAATAAAAATGATGAATTCTTTTTGTAATTTTATGATAGTTGGATTAAGTAAAATTGAAATATCTTTTAGTGTAAACAAGATACAATCCATATAACAGTGACTGTTGACTGACTATATATAATTGAGAAAATGAACCTCCCTTCTTTGACAGCAAAGACCCTCCCCCCCCCC